AGGATCTGCTCCTTCCTCCTGAAAGTATTTGCCACATCTGCAACTGAACATGCAGCTCTCAGGTCATCCTCCACAGTCATCTATAGAGTCATCGATGATGTCCCCATTTATTGTAAGACTGTCATCCTCGTTCTGCAGGACTGCCACTACCATCAGTAATTTCAGCCTTGGCCAAAACAAGCCATGCAAATACACCGAGATGGTAACCAAAATCTGTGCACCTAATGGACAAGGCATCAGGCTGATCCCCGAGAAGGTCACCTAGTCAAATTATTTTGGGAAAAGTCTTAATAGCAAATATTCCTCTCCACCTCAAGGGATCACAAGCAGGGAAAGAAGACATGACTGTACTGGCTTCATCCCTGCATACAGATCAATCTTAAATTAAAAAAAAAGAAAAGATTGTGTCCTGTATTACCACGGTGGCCTTTAAACCTCTGGACACAGCAATCCACCAGATCTCAGCTGGTATAAATCTATGTAGCCCCATTCACTTCACTGAAGTCACACTGCTTTATACCCGCTGAAACCACAGCTGCTCATCAGGCAGAAAATCCAGGTCTCAAAGAGTTAATAACCATTTCCCAATTTTTCCCCGCCCAGCCCATGTTTCGAGTAGGTTCAATGAACACCAGCAATAATGAAGGAAATGACCAGTGCATACCCTCATTCACAGATCGTGGTCTAATTCCAGGTTTGAAACCAGTGCAACAAAAGACTAGTCAGATAAGGCAACAGCTTGGTTTAAAGACTCAGTCACGTGACACTGGTGACACAATGCAGTTTATTGGCAATGCAAGAGGAGCATTTAACCACGAGCAAACAACAGTGTTACATGTTATGTACAAGGCACAACCGTGGGCCGTCAGAAAGCAAGCAAGCAAGCAGTACTCAAGCCATGGTGTGGGCTAACTTCACGGGGTGGGAAGCCAACGCAAGATCTATGCACCATGCACATTCGTTATCATCCAGCTGCAGCACAACGTGATGTTTTTTGTGCGCTGGATGTCTGTTCCCCGCTCGGACAGAGCAATGGACTTGCCGCACATTCCCCGACTGGAGAAAGGCCACATGGCTTTACTGGCTTCAACCTTGACGGAGCCCTGAAATGTTGGGGAGCCAAAGAGTTGCAGCTGGTACCGTGAACTCCAGGGAAAGTGGTGGAACAGAAAAACATACGGCCCAGTTCACAGGCATGGAAAGCACCTTTGGCTGCCCCTCCGCAATTAGTCTGATGGAGCTCACTTGTATCGGAGTACGTCAGGAGGCGTTCCACTGAAGTCAAGGGGTCTGCTTCTCTGTGTCCTACACCTTGAGCAGCTATTTTACACCAGTGCTGAGTGGATAGAAACTGGTGCCTGATTATAACATCCACTTTGCACTCATTTTGCTCTGTGGTAAGATGACAGAGAAAGGAGCCCAGCTGAGTAAATCAGGCTCACTGTCAGGTCCTGGGAGTAAAACTAGAGCGACCGACAGAAAAATCAGGGCCAGTATAAAGCCAAGCCATAAGGAAAACGTATCAACTCCCAGACCCATTCCAACCCATTGACTTCAGCGCAGGGATAAGCAACATTTTGTTCTGTGATGTTAAAGGTTTTTATCCTTGTTAATGTTTAAAGATGATACATTTGGGAAAGGGGGTGACAGAAAATTGCTGCCAATCAACAGCAAACACCTGGGTAAATTCAGGCATCTCTGGTTCTTTACACTTTATCTTACCATTTTCCTGCTTGATGAAGAGGATGAGACGTATTTTATGCTAGAGCTGCTTCCCCCTCCCAAGCCAAAACTGCCTCCTCCAACACTGACCCCATTCCCACCACCACCTCCCACGCTGATCCCACTGCCACTACCAATCCCATGGCCAAAACTGCTTCCACCACCTCCGCCAACTCCGAGACCAAGACCAATGCCACCAACGCCACCGCCAATGCCGCCGCCGCCGCCACCACCCCCTAGTCCAAGACCAAGGCCACTTCCACGACCTCCACCAAGGCTGAATCCACCTCCGACTCCTCCTCCACCACCTGCTAAGCTGGTAGTGTTGCTGACCACAGCTGTAAAAAACACAGAGACCAATTATTCAACCAACAACTTGTGCCTCTCAAGGAGATGCAAACAGTAGCGTCAATACAGGTCCCTTCCGGCTCTATGACTATCTCAAAGACTGGTTGAAATGTTTCTATGAACACTGTTTTTTGAAGGAAAATTGGGTTTCAACAGGAGGAGTTTCTTCAAATTAGAAGCCTCTGCTTCAATTTTTCTTCCAAAACCCCCTAAAATATGTGGAAATCAAAATATGTCCACCTGGAAGCACCACTGCATTGCCTCATGGGAGTTGCAATTTGGCTTCCTCAAATCCCAGCTCTCTCTCATGGACTAGATGCCCCAATAAGACTATCTCCTATCAGTTCCCACAGCCAGGGACTCCATGATGTGCAACCTTCCCTCACCAAAAAACGGGGATCCTGGTTCATGATGGGAAATATATTCCAATCCAGGAGTCCAACCTATAGACTGGAGGCATCTGAGTGTTAATTCCCTGAGGCACTGAGATGGCATTGCTTCTTTGAGGATTGGCAAAAATGAGTTAGGTTTTCAAGTGTTTCCCTAAAAACACTAAAGTGAAGGGGAATCTTTGAGATACTCACAGATGCTCACAGGATCCACGTACTCTCCAGACATCCTGTTGGGGAGAAAAAAAGTGAAACAACTGAATCATCTCTCATTACTAGGCAGTGAAACTTGGGGACTTGAGCTCTCATCCAAAAGGGGCAGCATAATTCTCATCGATACTAATTATCATTAGATTTCCAAAGCAGACAGATTTACAAGGGTTGTACCTGGTGCCTGCTCCCCTGCTTACATCTAGGTTTTTTTATCTAAGGACTGTCTACTATAAAATTCAAAAACAATCCTGCATTTTCAATAGCTGGCACACCATGCCTGACTATTTAACCCAAAGGACAAACCAAATGAGTTAGATCCGCTATTTGTATGTCACTGGTTCCTATACTGGAACACTTTCCGTTTGCAACATATTTTGCTGAAGAACAGCCTTGTGATGTAGGGAATTATTATCCCTGGTACAGCAAAGACAGAAGAGCTATGTACATTTGTACCAGCTGAGGGCCTGGCCCCATAGTTATTACACTATACAGATCCACTGCACCCCCCTGCACTCCTCTCCTTCCAGCAGAGTCCTGTAAGTGGCAATCTCAATATCCAGGGCCAGCTTGACGTTCATTAGCTCCTGGTAATCCCGCAGAAGATGAGCCAGTTCATCTTTGGCTGTTTGCAAGGCATTCTGGAGATCAGAAAGTTTAGCACGGGCATCTTTAAGGGCCATCTCTCCACGCTGCTCCGCATCGGCAATGGCTGTTTGCAGCCCGGCAATCTGCAGGGCAAAGAACATGAGGTTCTAGTTTTGATGCTAAGCCATAAACTCAGTGGATTTCTAACTTCCTGGGTTTGTCTTCCTCTTTGTAAAGTAAAAGGAAGACTACATGAGTCCCACTCTTTCACCCAGGTCAATCCAGCTATGGTAGGGGTCTATGGAGTATCTCGAAAGGGTTGAAAGACGTTGGGTTTTCTGGTGGGACTTGTCCTATGGAAGTACCCAAGTGACTCGACAGCCTGTGTTCTCCAAAGTGGTCTGAGCACCTGGGACCAGATTTTCAAGGATGTATGAAAATCGTTGGGATTTTACAAAACACCACGGCAGATTAGGCACCAAAAATCCCGCTGATAATGCAACTGCCTAAAATGAAGCAACATTGATTTATATAAGCTGAAGGAGTCACGAATCCAAGTTGGCTTCAGAAAAATCACTTCAGGTCCCTCCTGCCTAAAACACTAATTTTCAACCTTTTTTGAATTTACGGACCTCTACAAAATTGTGAATGGAAATTTGAAGTTTCAAATGGAGGTGCATTTTAATGATTTTTTAAATTTTAAGTGTGGGGATTCACATACATTTGATTGATCATAGTCATCTTTCATAGACCCCTTAGACATAGTCTGTGGACCCTCAGAGGTTCATGGACCACAGGTGGAAAACCATTGGCTTAAAACTGGTTTTTCAAAAATCCTGGCGTTCTTTCATTTGCCTCTTGATTTTTTATCTTTTCTCACACTCTGGGGGACACTTACCTCTGAACTCGTGAGAAGTAAGAATTCTACATTTAAAATAAAATGAAGTGAGAGTCTTTTAAAATAACATGATCTCAGTAGCTGGGACATTGAGAAAAATGCCAAGTTTTGCAGGGGTTGGTAACACCGCAGTTCCATTCAAGATGGAAAATCATAGAGCCACCAAACTCATGAACACAGAGCAAGACAAATGTCTCGATTCCACATTAAGGACTTTCCCACCTGTTTTTTCACATTATCGATTTCAGCCTTCAGCCTCTGAATTATCCGAGTCAACTCCGAAATCTCATTCCTGGTGTTCTTCAAGTCATCCCCATGTGTCATGGCTGTGGTCTGAAGCTCTTGAAACTGAGCGGCAAAGCAATACAGAGAGTATTAAACATTTTCATATGAAAACTCCCAAGAAAGTATTTCAAATTTAAAGCATTTTGCCATTGAAATGGTGGGACAATTCCAATGCAACTGTCAATTTGTTTTCTACCACGTTATTGAAATGTATGAAGCTGTTGCCGTTTTTCTACATATTTTTGACATTTTAATAGAAGAAGCTAAATAAAAAAGTGGGAGAAATACGGCCCCCTTAAATTGCTATAATCGTCACATTCATGTCAAATTTACTAGTAATCATGCAATGTTTGAACAAAGGATTGTAAGTAAAAAACTTCCAAGGCACCCAACTGACAGAAGCACCAAAGTCACATTTTCAAAGCGGATTTGCTAAGTGTACAAGTCTCATTAGCAGTCTAGGGGATTTTGGTGCCTAAGTCAGTGGGATGCTTTTGGAAATGGGTCTCTTGGGTCTCCAGAGTTGTTCCATGCTGTAAATGAACCTGGCATGCTATGGTTCATTGAACCTAGTGCTATGACTTTCAGTTCACAAATTCACAAATCTGTGCTGGCTTTTTCATTCTGAACACTTTCTTATTAAATTTACCTACATTTCATATCTATTTAACAAGAAAAAAGGTAGTGTTCTTTAGCAAAGTGCTCTCAACACTCTGCCTGCCACAGGTGAGATAAGACTGATGCACAATGACTCAATATACTGCCATGTACCCTCCACATGGCTATGATGATTTACCTTGCTCTGGTACCAAGCCTCTGCCTCTGCCCGGCTCCTGTTAGCAATGTCCTCATACTGAGCTTTGACCTCAGAGATGATGCTGTTGAGGTCCAGGTCTCTGTTGTTGTCCATTTGCAGGATCACATTGGTGTCAGTGATCTGCCCTTGCATCTGATCCAGTTCCTGCAGGTAACACAGAGATCTCAAGGGGGTGTTTGCCAGGACTTAAACCCCACAGGGAGTTCACAAAGTAAATTAATAAAAAATATCCCAGAAGAGGGACTATCGCATTCAGCATTCATGCATTTTGCTTAATCTTGTCTGATCTCCATCCACTCAAAAGCAGGCCGTCATTTCTACATCAACCTCCCATTTCTGTCTGACCTTCTGCTGAGTTGAGAGTGGAGGATTTGACTAGATGACCTCTTGAGTCTTCTCCCTACCCTACTTTTATGGGATTCTGTGATTCTTTATTTTACAAAGACATCAAATCTTATTTTCAAGATCTCAAGTGATGACGGTTCCTCCTAGGCCCTCACTCAGTGGCGCTAAGGCTTCATGACCCTCCTTGTGAAAATGCTACATCTTAGTTTCAATCTGAAATTAGCTGGCTTCTGCTTTCAACCACTGAAGCTCATCACGCTCTTGTGCTAGATTAAATAGCTCTTCTGTGATCAGAAATATCTTCCCCTTATAGATACTTGGAGACCATGATCAAATCCCTCAACTTTTCTTGAATACATGGAAGAGATGGAGTTGCTTCGTCTCTCTCTCTCTAAGCCATGTTTCGCAAAGACTGAATCAGACTTAGAGGGTTTTTTTCCAAAGTCCTTTCTAATGTGTGGACCCCAGACCTGGACACCATAATCCAGGAGGTGAAGTCACTGATTTCCTGCATAAACCAAAGAGCTCAGTGAAGAATCTCTTAACTTTGCCCCTGGGAAAAAGGCAACACAGACCATGGCAAGGAAACAAATAAGGACACTTACGGCCTTGAAGAACGCTCTCAGGAAGCTTATCTCATCAATGAGGGAATCTACCTTCACCTGAAGCTCTACTTTGTTCATGAAGCTATGGTCCGCATCCTAAAACAGCATAACAGACAGACAGAGAGCTGGTGCATATGGGGAGGGATAGATGGATAGATGCTTTATTAATGTCATTTGATGATTGCTCACCTTTTTGCTCATCACGAATTCATTCTCTATAGCAGTTCGCCTGTTGATTTCCTCTTCGTACCTGCTGGGAAAAGAGCCATGTTTGAATGACAGCTTCTAGGCTGGTTGGAATAACTACAGAGAGCAGAGGTAAGGATATATATATATATATACACACACACACACATCTACCACATATATGCATGTATGTATGTATGTATGTAGCAGTTAAACATGTTTTATTGATATGTTACAATTTTAAAGTAATTTGGAAGCCTACCAGTTCCTCAATCACTATAAAAAAATAAATCTTAAATATCTATATATTTTGGTGTTAGACCGATAGACAGATAGATAGACAGAATATATGGGGATAGATAAATAGCAAGATAGACAGATATATAGACAGACAAGAATATTGTATAAATAATAATGAGAGACGGCACTGCACATTGATGGTATGAGCTCAGGTTCCTGCAGCCTACCAATATGGAGAAAGAAAAAGAGAATATGCTGTTTATTTTTATAAGCTATATAAATCTAATTGTTTTCCAGGGAAGTAATGAGAATGCCTTAAAGTGCAGGTGCGAATTATAATATACACATGGGTTATGATGTGAATTATGACCAAGAAAATTCACATGAAAGTGGAGAACATTTTACTAGCCTGTAAGTACTTGAATTAACTACTCATCTTGCTTTCATGGTTATGAAAATTACTCTGCTATTGACCACAAGCCAGAATCCCTCCAGGACATCTATAGAAGGTCTTAGCCACAAAACCTCTAGCCATTATATAAGGCCGGCTTTCATACTTACTTCTTCTTGAAGTCTTCGACAAGGTCCTGCAAATTCCTCAACTCTCCCTCCAGCTGCCCCCTGTTACCCAGCAGGTTCTCAAGCTGGCACTGGAGGTTGTTGATATACGCCTCAAACATGGGCTCGAGGCTGACCCGAGTGGTCGTGGTGCCTTGCAACAGGTCCCATTTGGTCTCCAGCACCTTATTCTGCTGCTCTAGGAATCGGACCTGAAACCCAACAGGCAAAGAAGATGTTAGCTGCTGCAAAACAGCTCCATCTCATGGAACCGGACTCGTGATGGGCTAAGGTGACTGGAACCGGCTCCACTGACGTCCGTGGAATGACTTCCCATTGTGGGAAAAGAATCGACAGCCCTTCTCAATTCTCCTTGTGAAAGCAAGAAAAAAGGAAGCTATCACATCCAGATGTGACTGCCAGATCCCCAGCTGGTACAAGTGGGTACAGCTGCACAGAAGCCTATGCAGCTCTGCTGATTTGCCTCAGCTGAAATCAGTGAGGCAGCAGAATTTGAGGCAGTGCCACAAAATCATAGAAAAGGAAGGTTGGAAGGAGGTCATCTAGTCCAGGGGTGGGCAAAATGTGGCCCGTGGGCCAGATGTGGCCCGCCAAGCTATTCTATCTGGCCCGCAGGGCCCCTAAAAAATTTAGAAAATTAATATCAATCTGCCCTGGGCTGCCTGTCATGCAGCCCTCGATGGCTTGCCAAAACTCAGTAAGCAGCCCTCTGCCCAAAATAATTGCCCACCCCGATCTAGTCCAACCCTCATATAATGACAGATGATGAAACTGGCAGCAGGAGCTCAATCGGGTAGATTAATTGACACCAGCCAAGAATATAACTATACACAAGCATCCAGCCACATTATAGTGTGGGGCAGGCTATTCCAATCTAGCATGTCCGAGAAGAAAATCAAAGTTAAGGCATAACACAAGGAACATGGTTATCCCTAGCTAGCCACAAAATAACGATAGCCAGAGAGACAAAACACAAAAGAAATACACTTAAGCAGCAATGCTCTTGATTCAATTGGATGCATACGTGCACAACCTTCACACATAAGAAGTCCCATGAAAGCCCCGGTAGAATTCATGTGTTTGATGCACTTAAGTACCTTGTCAACGTAGCAATCAGGACTCACAGTAGAGATGATACCTTTTATTAGCCCAACAAAATTTTTGCAAAAAAAAAATTGTTAATTGCAAAAATCTCGTTGGTCTAGCAAAAGATCTCATCTCTACTACGAGTCCTGATTTCTTTTTCCAATACAGCTACAACCTGGATACCTTGTCAAAGTAGGTCATTTAAAGATAACATTCAGCTCCATAAGTAACAGAGAGCTACATCGGGGAGGAGAAATGTATTGTGTGCAATGACAGGTGCCCTTTTATTGGTACTGTTATGAACACCTTGGGGGAAAAAATAGGTACTGGCACAGACTTTGCGCTAATACTTAGGACATAGCACTTTGTGCCATAAGACCTCGGCCAGACCTGAGGTCCATATTTAGCTTGCCAGTTAGGACCCAGCGAGTAGCAATTAAGCAAGGACCTAACTTGTAACCAGGATGCTGCCATAAGATGCTTCCCAGAAGGACCATTAACTAGTGTGTGGTCTCACCTTGTCAATGAAGGAGGCAAATTTGTTGTTAAGGGTCTTGATCTGCTCCCTCTCATGAGTTCGCACTCTCTGGACCTCTGAGTCAATCTCCAGTTTCAGAGGAGCCAGAAGGTTGGGGTTGACAGTGACTTTTTGGATGCCCCCAGGAGGTGGAAGAGGACAAGCTAAGCCACCCCCAAAGCCTCCCATACCTGGCCCGCCAACACCTAACCCCCCACCAACACTGCCTGCCCACCTTCCATATCTGCCAGGCACAACTCCCCCACCTCCAAAACCAAGTCCACCACCCAAACCAAACCCACCGCCACCAAAACCAACGCCACCAAACCCACCGCCACCAAAACCAAGTCCTCCACCATGGATGCTTCCACCGCCAAAGCTGATGGGAATACCCCTGCTTCCACCTAAACCATGGAGGCTTCTACTGCTGAAGCCACCCCCAAAGCCACCACCACCAAGCCCCACATTTCCTCTTCCAATGCGGGACAAAGAAGCTGAACTAAAGCTGCCTCTGTTACCACCAGGAACTACAGTGGCAGCAGCAGAGCGAACACTGAAACTCCGACCTCCGCCCCCAGACCTGGAACTGAACTGCTGAAACATGGTGCCTGGTTGAAAGAGTGAGTGATGAAGAAGAGCAGAGAGAAAGAAAGAGAGAGGGAATGAGACAGAACCCCTCTGAGATGGAAGCTGGGGCTTTCCCTTATATAGCCTGGAGAGGCTGGGCTGGGCTGGGACCTGATAATGTGTTTAAATTGCTGATGGGTTTGGTTCTGCCTAGGAGCAATGAATCCTTTTCAACCCCACTTTCTCATACCTTTGAAGTGTATTAAAGCACAGAAATTGCTTGGCTTGCAGCTTTAAGGGTATGAAACCATGTACATTACCAACAAAGCCTGCTTTTTTTTTTCCCCCTTGCGCAGAGCATTTAATGCAAAACTATTAAACAGACCCACAAGGCGCCTCTGCTTTGAATCATAGAGGAATATTCTGCCATAACTTACTGCAGACGGGCATGTTCAAGACATTACCTTCTGTCCATCAGCAACTGGAAGCATATAAGACTGGGTGCAGCCTTACCTTGGGTTTGACACTGCAGCCTTAAGAGACTTCGCACCCATAAAGAACTGCCCCGATGACTTCGGTGGAATCAATCAATTGCCATTAAAGAATGGGGAAGCAATATGCCGTGGTGTGCTTTCAGCTAGTGTTTCCAATGAAGACTAACAGGATACAGTGCCCAAATATAAAGGGTATAATACATTTAACTATGGCATTTGACATGTCATTAAAAATCCCAGCCTCGCAGTTTAATCCTGAGAGTAGACAGTGCATCTATTTTGTGAGCAAAATTAGCAAAGAGAAAAACTAAAATGAACTTTTCTCGACGCTGCGTTTCAGATCAGTCAAAACCTTCCTTCCCTGTATTGTGGATGCCTTTCCATTCCAATTTCAACTATTTTTCTTAACTTGCATGAAAATGAGTATTCGTTCTACACGCTACAGGTGATAATGAACCCCCGCCCAATTAACTGGCCTTATTTTCCCACACATTGAGCTTCTTTTTTCTGCTAATTTTTTGCCTGTTGCTTCTGGGACTGTCTCCCCCTCCTCCAATTTCACAACTCTGCCTACTGTTCCTAAAATTCCCTGGGCGTGCTTTCCTCCTCAGACCTGAAGAAGAACGCTTGGCATTTGAAAGCTTGTAACTTGATCCAAGTGCACAGATAAGAGATATCGTCCTAAAAAAAATCCTCCTCACAGAACCAAAAAGACATTTATAATGAAAGATTTAATCCTTCCAGTCCAGTTCGGTCAAAACAGATCATTACATCACAGGCGGACTTTCAAGTTTGGTTTCCTTTTGATTTCTGGTCAGTGCACATGATTATGGGAGGGATCATTTAATCCTCAACGTATCATGCATCATCACAACCTTGCCTGCAGTATGCACGACTAACAGGTGTACGCTGGGACCATTGCAGGATCTTGCCCTGTGAATTTGGGGCACCTATTGCCCTCTGAATTCACTCCCATCAGATCAGGAGGCTGGACAAATCAGCACCCACCTCCAAGGGAAGCAGTGAAGCAAAAGCACGATGTGCAGCTTGCTCAGATGTATTTCGCCAGCAAAGGCAGGTCTCAGGACATGAGAAGTAACTGTATGTCATACAGTACCAGTTATATTTCCACTCCCTTCATCATTTTCATCCCAGGGCAGGTCCTTGCTCAAGGCAAGCCACCGCCTGCTACCTAGTGGCCAGACACTGAATGATGCCTCCTGCAGCTAGCCAGCTCCGGAGAACTGGTTGTTTCCTCACTCCTAACTACAGAGTATGGTGTCTACACCCTAACTCTCCAGGGCTTTACTTGCACCTAGGTATTTTATATCCACTCCACACCAGTGTAAAATGACCATACCAGGAGGCTAAGCCATGGTGAATCACAGCTGAAGTCCACAAGTTTGCTCAGATAAAGGGTGAAAATCACCCTGAGTTTACCAGTGACTTTTAGTGGATGCATGCTCAGAAACCAAGCACTGACTGAGGCCAAATGGGAGTTTTGCCACTGGCTACACTCAAGCTGAGGTTTGGCACCCACCATGGGAATGAAAGAGTCAGATGGTTTGATCTCGCTTGTGGTTTCATGAAAAAAAACACCGGGGAATGGAACAGAAATTACACAATGCCGGTTACAGCAAAAAGGCGGCATCCAGCTTTTTTCAAGAAACAGAGAGTAATAGCTGATTTATTCTGGAGGCACCTGAACAGCTCTAAGGGTGCCTGTAGATGTGCGGGGAGGCTACAGCACGTCGGAGCAGACTCGGTTAATCAAGCCTGCTGGAGCATGCTAATTAGCATCTTGTGTATCAGCATTCCCATGCTTCAAAATGACAGCAGGGGAACTTTAACTCAAGCTCATTTAATGACAGTGAGCACTTTAATTAGAGTGGTTTTTGGAGCTGCTCTAATTAAAGCCCCTTCCCCCCCCCCCCC